GAGAATCGCTTGAACCTGGGAGGCGGAGGTTGCAGTGAGCCGAGATTGCACCACTGCACTCCAGCCTGGGTGACAGAGTGAGACTTCATCCCCCCACTCAAAAAAAAGGTCTGACCACTGAAGTTGCCCCTCTCCCTGCCACTTCTTGTCATCACATCACTCTGTGTATTTCTGTCATGATACTTACCCATAGCAGAATTACCATGTTTATGTTCTTGTTGATCTAGGCTTTCCTGAGTTCTTGCAGGGTGCTGAACTCTCTTCCAGCATATTGTATGCGGACAGCCAAGTCAGACAAGGGTCTTATGGGATCTTGCATTCTAGCCGATTCATTGTTATACCTCTGGCACATACACTGTTTTCTGGTTCAAATTAGACATTTAGTATATATTTGTTGAATGAATAAGTGAATGAAGTAATTTGTGTGTGTATGTATGTATTTAGAGACAGGGTCTGGCTGTGTCACCCAGGCTGGAGTGCAGTGGTGTGATCTCGGCTCACTGCAACCTCCCCCTCCTGGACCCAACAACCCTCCCACCTCAGCCTCCCGAGTAGCTGGGACTACAGCCGTGCACCATCATACCCAGCTAATTTTTGTATTTTTTGTGGAGACAGGGTTTCACTATGTTGCCCAGCCTAGTCTTGAGCTCCTGAGCTTAAGTGATCCACCCGCCTCAGTTTCCCAAAGTGCTGGGATTACAGGCGTGAGCCATAGTACCTGACCAATTAATTAATTAATTAATTAATTTTGAGACATGGTCTCACTTTGTCACCCAGGCTGGAGTGCAGTGGTGTAGTCATAGCTCATTGCAACCTTGAACTCCTGGGCTCAGGTGATCCTCTCACCTCAGCCTCCCCAGTAGCTGGGACTGTAGCCACATGCTACCATGACTGGCTAATTTAAAAACAAATTTTTAGAGGCAGGGTCTCACTATGTTGCCCAAGTGGATCTTGAACTTTTATCCTCAAGCGATCCTCCCAATTCAGCCTCCCAAAGTGGCAGTGCCTGACCTGAAGTAATCAATCCCTCAAAATATTTTTGGTATGGTGGCTTCATGGCCTTGATTATCTTGCTAGGTTTAGCTAGCTTTGCAGTAGGGAGAGAGACCAGAAGAAATGAAAGGCATTCTAACTTCCCAGAGCATACACTGCTGTTAGCAGTCTGTGACACATAGGAAACACTGGTATCACTTCACAGATGTGAGTCTGCCCAAGCTGTGTCCTCTTGTTTTTTGTTTCTATTTTATAAACTGCTTAAGAAGACTGAGAATGAGACCAGCAATATAATACTATCAGTGCATTAATTATTCTTTTCACTTTCCAGGCTGGAGTAAAAGGGACATTGGGAAGATTAGTTGGAATATTTGAGGTAAGTCTGTTAAAATCTTTGGTACAAATGATATGTATTAATAACCACACAGATATTAACATAGGAAAAATGCTATCTCTGTTTCAGCGAGTTTTTGGGTGTTTTTTAGTTATTTTTAACTTTCTGAGACAAGGTCTCACTGTGTCGCCCAGGCTGGAGTGCAGTGGCACAGTCATAGCTCACTGCAGCCTTGAACTCCTGGGTTCAAGCAATCTCCTGCTTCAGCCTCCCAAGTAGGTGAGACTACAGGAACACACCACCATGCCTTCTAAATTTTCAAATTTTTTTGTAAGAGACAGGGTCTTGCCAGGTTGCCCAGGTTGGTCTCAAACTCCTGTGCTTAAGCGATCCTCCTGCCTCAGCCTCCCAAAATGCTGGGATTACAGGCGTGAGCCACCGTGCCCAACCTCGGTGAGTTTTTTAAAGAAAGCAGCACCAACAGAGGATAACATGCTTTAAAACAAAAAGAAAGAAAGAAATCCCATAGTCTTGTCCCCTAAACTACTAGAATTATTTGTAAGTATTATTTTACCCCATTCCTACCTTTCTTCCTCTCCTACCAAGGTAGGAGGAAGGGTAGCTGAGTGTAGAGAGACAAGAAAAATAGAAGATAAGTAACTATAACAAAGAGAGGAAAAACAAGGAAATAAGCTGCGATACAAATTTGAAAGAAGGCAGGAAAAAAGGTGAGAAATCAGGAGAAATAAAGATGAGCAGATGCTGGGCATGGTGGCTCACCCCTGTAATCCCAGCATTTTGGGAAGCTGATGCACAACAATCTCTTGAGGGTAGAAGTTCAAGACCAACCTGAGCAAAAGAGTGAGACTCTATCTCTACAAAAAGTTTTAAAAATAAAAATATCAGAAGAAAGATCTCTAATGAAAAAATAGATATGTAAATAAATAATTTTTTTTTTTTTTTTGAGACAGAGTCTTGCTCTGTCACCCAGGCTGTAGTGCAATGGCACGATCTCAGCTTACCACAACCTCCGCCTCCTAGGTTCAAGCGATTCTCCTGCTTCAGTCTCCCAAGTAGCTGAGATTACAAGTGCCCGCCACCACATCTGGCCAATTTTTGTATTTTTAGTAGAGACAGGGTTTCACCATGGTGGCCAGGTTGGTCTGGAACTCCTGACCTCAGGTGATCCGCCTACCTTGGCCTCCCAAAGTGCTGGGATTATAAGCATGAGCCATCGCCCTGGCAATAAATAAAATTTTTTAAAAGGTGGCTGGGCACTGTGGCTCATGCCTGTAATCCCAGCATTTTGGGAGGCCAAAATGGGAGGATCGCTTGAGCCTAGGAGTTTAAGACTAGCCTGGGCAACATGGTGAAATCCTGTCTCTACAAAAAAAATACAAAAATTGGCTGGGCACGGTGGCTCTCATAGGTAATCCCAGCATTTTGGGTGGCCTAGGCGTGCAGATCACTTGAGGTCAGGAGTTTGAGATGAGCCTAGCCAACATGGTGAAACGCTGTCTCTACTAAAAATGCAAAAATTAGCCGGGCATGGTGGTGCGTGCCTGTACCAGCTACTCAGGAAGCTGAGGTGAGAAGATCACCTAAGCTCAGGAAGGTCAAGGCTGCGGTGAGCCATGATCATGCCACTGCGCTCCACTCTGGGTGACAAAGTAAGGCCCTCTCTCAAAAAAACAGGTAAGTGGGGTTAGTGGGAAAAGGGGTGGGTGGGTGTGGGGGTGTGTGTGTGTGTGTCACACTCAGCTTGTTTGCCTTGCTGGGGTCACTGAAGTGTGAGAGCTCTGTGGTGGCCCACCCATCGACAGTCCTTTCCCTGGTGTTCTAGCTGGTTAAATGTACATGATGCCTTTTTCTTAAGGAGTCACAGCATTCCTGTGAAATTGTGTTTAGGGGAAGGGGAGGAAAAAACAATATAAATACTTGGTTTTAGAAGTCCAGGCAAAGAGCACACCCTCAAATTCAAGTGTGGCCTGTTTTAAATCATGTAGGACCATAAAAAGTAAAAGTTTAGAATCTTTGTGTCTAAGCTCTCTGGACATGTGCTTAAGAGTGTGTTTCATTTAAGTAATTCCAGCTTTCTAAGGAAAAACTCTCTCTGTCCTTCTCTCTTTGCCCTTCAGAACCAGGAGAGGAAGCACAGGACGTATGTCTATGTGCTCATTGTCACTGAAGTGCTGGAAGACTGGGAAGACTCAGTTAACATTGGTAAGCCATCTTCAGACAGCCTGGAAAGGGCTCCTCACAACCAGCCCTTGCCATGCCACAGGTCATTACCAGAACCAGAAACAAGAGCTTACCAGGCTCAGTGGCTCACACCTGTAACCCCAATACTTTGGAAGGCCAACACAGGAGGATCACCTGAGCCCAGGAGTTCAAGACCAGTCTGGGCAACCTAGTAAGACCTCATCTCTACAAAAATCAGAAGAATTAGCTGGGTGTGGTGGCACATGCCTGTGGTCCCAGCTTCTCAGGAGGCTGAGGCAGGAAGATCATTTGTGCTTGGGAGGTTGAGGTTACATTGAGCCATAATCATGCCACTGCACTCCAGCCTAGGCAACAGAGTGAAACTGTCTCAAAAACAAACAACAACAAAAACAAGAACTGGATAAAGAATAGAAATAATTGAGGGATGTGTATAATAAAACAAGCATGTACATTTTGAACCAGATAGTATTTTGAAATGTTTAAATGGAATCTGAAGTGAGTATATGGTCCACAAATAGAAGCATGACCCCTAAAAATAAGAAATGTTGCTTCTAAAATCAAACTGAGTCCTTCCCAAACAGGCTATACTTCTGCACCTCCTGAACAGATACTGATTGAGGGCCTCCGCCATGCCAGGCTCACTGCTGGCCGTGGGGACCGTAAGTGAGAGCAGGACCCTGGTCTTGTTCCTATTGAGAAAATTGTTTGGTAGTGTGAGTCCCTCTAGAAATTTAGTAGATGCAGAATAGTGCAGGTAGTTTCTAGTTTTATTCTTATATGATATATCTACAATATATATTTTTATATTTTTCATGTTTTATATGAATATAAAAATGATAAAATTTATGAACTTTTTTTTTTTTTTTTTTTAAGGCAGAGTTTCACTCTTGTTTGCCCAGGCTGGAGTGCAATGGCACGATCACGGCTCACCACAACCTCCGCCTCCCAGGTTCAAGCGATTCTCCTGCCTCAGCCTCCCTAGTAGCTGGGATTATAGGCATGTGCCACCACACCCGGCCAATTTTGTATTTTTAGTGGAGATGGGGTTTCTCCGTGTTGGTCAGGCTGGTCTCGAACTCCCAACCTCAGGTGATCCACCCTCCTCCGCCTCCCAAAGTGCTGGGATTACAGGCGTGAGCCACTGCGCCCGGCTTATGAACTTTTATAAAAGGGTGCTGAGTGCACTCTTTAGGTACACCCAGCTTTCTCCCAAAGGAGTCATTTTCTTTTATCTCAGATGGCCATTGTGTTTACATCTTTTGAACTATAAACTGTGGTGGTGCAAAGGTTGGTTCACGGTTTGATTATTTACCTCTGAAGAAAAGTATATTCTAGAAAGTAGAACACTAATTTCCGTTACAAATTGGCAGACAGATAAAATTTACTTGCCAACATTCTCCCTTTAATGTTAGTGTTTTCCTTGCTGCCATGCCCCTCACATTGTTACTCTGGGCAGTTCGTAGCCCTTTGGCTCTTGATGGCTTTGTATCTAGTAATAATGCAGGGTGCTCAAGGAAACAAATTCATTGTGGATATGCTGAAAACAGACTCCCTGACAGCTGTGCTAGCGCCAGAAAAGGAGACAGCAGTGGATGTGTGGTGTGGCCCTATCCTCAGAGCACTCTGTCAGGCAGGAGTCACACACTTGTGATACTAATTTTTTTAGGTACCGTTGCTCTATTAATAATAAAACAAACCTTTCACCTTGTACTCCCACTTCTGAGAATTGACCCTAATGAAATAATCTAAAATATGACAAGCCTATGGAGCCTTCCTTCAGATGATCTTACTACCATTTTTCTTACCGGTTAAAAATTGCATCTTAAATGTATAACTCAGTGAATGACAAATCAATGAATGACATGTGTCTGATGGAATGTTATACAGCTGTTAAACACCATAGTTTAACACCACCTGGTGCAGTGGCTCACGCTTGTAATCCCAGCACTTTGGAAGGCTGAGAAAGGCAAATCACTTGAGGTCAGTAGTTCGAGACCAGCCTGGCCAATGTGGTGAAACCCCGTCTCTACTGAAAATGCAAAAATTAGCCAGGCGTGGTGGCACACACCTGTAATTTCAGCTACTCAGGAAGCTGAGGCAGGAGAATCGCTTGAACCCGGGAGGTGGAGGTTGCAGTGAGCCAAGAGTACGCCAGTGCACTCCAGCTTGGGCAACAGAT